TTATAAATATTACCTATGAATCAAATATTATTACTACATGAAATACAAAAATAAAGTTAAAATGATAATTTATCAAAGTAAAACTTTTTATTTAATTCGTGATTGTTAGATTCTAACCCCTCTCATAGAAATTTTTTTGTGAGAAATATAAGTAAAAACCATTATCAAGAAACCATGATTCCTGAAAATAGTATTTTTTTTTAATTGATAATCAAATGTTGACAACTAACTTTTCCAACTTCAAGTTTTTAAAAAAGTAAAATAAATCAATGTACCAATTGCCTCCTAAAAGTTATTTGATTTTTATCTATTTTTATATTATACATTAAAGTATAGGTTTCATGCATTTCACACATTATTTTTGGAGTTCGTAAAAATTATTTTTTCTACTTTATTAAAATAGTTTTCTTTATTTTTATTTGTGTACTTAATTTCCTTAATTTTATATCTTTTCTTTTTCATAAGGGTTGTATTTTCTTTAGATAGTTTGCATTTGAAACACAATTGAACATTAAGTATGTCATTATCTCAACATGATTTTATAGTTTGATTGGTCACATTGTGGGGATAAAATTGTTAAAATTGGTCTGATTATAATTGTTAAAGTGGGTAACCCAACTCGACCCAACACGAGTTGGACAATAGGTGGACCAACTCGGCATGGCTCACCTTTAAGGGAGCTTAAAAAAATCAACCTAGCTCGACTCATCACAGGATGGTGGATTGAACGAATTGACTCACTTAAATTAGTTTTTTTAAGTATTGAACTATATAAAAATATATATTATGATTGTATATTTTAAAATTACAATTATCTTATCAAATAGGACAAATAAAATGTTAAAAAGGAGTTAGATATAATTCGCAACCAATTTAATCAACTTATAAAATCAAAGTTGTTACATAAAATATTGACAAATAATATCAAATTGACACTAATTATTACAATTCACAACTAGTATGTACAAAATTTAGTCAATGATATAAATGTATAATCATATAAATTAACATTTGAAAATATAAAAAGCAAAATAAAAAAAATAGAAAATAAAAGTAAATTAGGTTAATTAACTCGTGAGCCAACCTAACTCACCATGGGTTGACTCATGGTAAGTCGGGTCAAATTTTTCTTATAATTAAAATGAGTTAAAATTTTCTGGTCCAACTTGACTCAAACCCATGATGACCGGACTAACTCACGAGTTTTAACCCACTTTGCTAACTTTAGGTTTGACCCATTGGCCAAACTGGGCTAGGCTCATTATTTTTAGTAGGGGTGAGCATGTACCTACCTACTACCCATCCAAACTCGACTTATTCGTAAAAGAAAAACTAATTGTTGGATGGGTGCAATCGAATAACAGGTAAAGCGGGTGAATGTTTTGTTTTAGATGATTTCAATAAGTCTAACTTGGTTTAAGAAATTTAGTTTTATTAATGATCGAACTCGACCAAAATTAAATATTACGTGTAAGAAAAAATTATGTTGCATTTTAGCATTTAAAGTTTGAGTAGACAACACATAAAGAGTGATAATAATCTTATAATTATGATTTGACTCGAGACTATGCAATGATAGTACACATGTAAGTTGTATCACTTTCTTATATCTAGTCCTAGGCAAAAATTTTCGGTCAATTCGAAATCGACCAGGCTGACACTTAGATTTGATGAAGAGAATTGCTTCTCATAGATTTTAGATTTTTCTGGGTGTAAACTTTGGGTTCAAACGGGTTTAAATGGTTGGGCTTGGTGTTGGAATTTTCTCATATGATACACTTGAATTCGACCACTCATCTTCTTCGTCTTCATCTTCATATTCTTCATCGTTGAGCGTCTTCATCTTCTTCTATTTCTTTTATTTTCTTCTATTTCACTTCACAAACATCCTATTCTCTTCAACCTTTCTCTAACATGGCCACCGTCGTTGAGAAGCTCCCCGTTCCCTACTTTAATTGACGACAGTGGTGATGTAGAGATTTAAAACTTTAGCAATTTCCTCCAATGAAACAGTGACGATAGAGACCAACGAAGGGTAATGGTGGAAGGCAGCACGAGACACGAGAGAAAACTTATTAAATTGAAGAACCCAATCAATTAACCTGTAACCCGCAATGATTGAACTCATAAAAAACCAAGACCTTCATTAGTCAGAGATGACTCTTGATATTTTTTAATCGATTTCGAACAATTTCAAAGATTTTAATGTGAAACCGGGCATGACCCACTGATGATGCTGAAACCTACCTATATAATACATAGTATCAAGGCTAAGCACAAAAGTTTATAGCCATCTTAAATAAACATGATAGCTCATGCAATCATGTTTCGAAAAAAAGAAATTACTAGCTCAATTATTAGGCATAATTAACCTTATTCTAATATAAAATGGTTATTCGAAGAAATCACATGAGTGACAAGAAAAAATACAACAACTATAAAAGTAACATATTTATCATCAATAAAAGGAAGTTATTAACAATGTTTAAGGATCTTTTGTATTTTAAATTTAAATAAATTTAATAATATCTCGTTTAGGGGCGTTACAAAAATCGTTACCCAGCAACACATATGATTGACTCACTCACGAGTATCATAAAAATATTAAATATTAATTTTATAAATAAAGTTTTTATAATTAAAAAATAGCTTGGTGAAAATAAATAAAGTTAAATATTACACTTCAGTATAATTTTGTTTTTATTTTTTATTCCTTAAAAAAATGACTAACATTCTTAAAGTTTTATCAGCTATTGTATTTCATGCGATAATTTGAATATCACTTATATTTAAAATAAATATACGAGATAAAACGAAAAAAAAAGAGTTCTGAAATGAGCGAAAAATAAAACCAGAGCATAATTACATAAAAATAATATTTATGCCCACCTATAAATAGTAACTAGCATCAATGAATAATATTTATGCCCAACTTAATAATTTTGCACACCTATAAACAAAACTAATATTTTGTTATTAATCATCACACGGTAATAGGTTATATAGCCATTGATAATTCTTCCTCAAATTATCTAATACAGGATTTCATTAATTTGCAATAATGACAACAGATAATATGTTAATAATCAATAAAAACAAAAACAAAAAGGATAAATATTCATAATTTTTCTTCAAACTTTGTGTATATTTATAATATGAATATTATAGTGTACGATTATTCACTTACTAATAATAAATAATCACTCAACAGTGACAATCTTTTATATATCTTTATTTTATATACTTATTGTAGAACTTCATTAATGACTGTTCGACAAAAATAATAATCATTCACAATTTTTTCTTTCTTAAATTCAGGTATCTACATCGGATTTTAATAATTGACTACTTAATAAAAACAAGTGTTACTTATCAACACAAGTATCAATTATTATTAATTTATCTATAAGGGTATTTTCCTGTTTAATAAAAATTAATAATCATTCTCTCAAAAATAATTCTATGCATGTCTATAAGGGCATTTTATGCATAATTTTGTGACAGTTTAGTAAAAGTTACTAAACCTTGAACGAGTCAAAACATTTTTAATCCAGTAAGCCTAAGTTGGGTCATTAATTTGACCGTTTGATGAGAAACCTGTAATGTGACTCCAAATGTGCACGGCTACATCAGTTTAGTTTTATTCATAAAGTACGGAACAAGCAACACGACAACACGAAAGTGTATAAATTTAATTTTAAATTATTGGATGTATTTAACTAAAATTTATATTTAAATTAATTTTAACCACGTATTTTACATTTAAACGTGTGTTACGCTGTGTGAAATTAATTTTAAATAATAAACACAAAGTCTACATAGACATGGTGGTATTTAACTACTATTATTATCATTACTGATGGTGCAAGAAATTAAAACTAGAATTGGCTGCAAGCATCAAGTGAGATTTTGTTAAACTATGTAATTGGACAGTATCTGAATACCTGTAATGTAATTTTGCACAAATTAAGGTGACAGAATCTGGCAAGGTAAGAAGACACCACAGCAATTATTTTTTAATTTACGACGAACGAACCTGTGGCTGCCAGTTGAGTATCCATTGCAATAACTAATATGTCCAAATAATAATATGCAGCTCATAGATTATGGGTTACATATATCAACTAGTCTAAAACATTAAAAAAAAAAACACTCTCAACATTTTTCTAAAGCAACCTCACTCATATATACGTTCGTAATATAGAGTATATTGAAAAACACTCTCAACGTTTTTTCAGAATAGTGTCATTCAGTCTAACTCGAATATTATTTACAGTAATGTCTCTCTGAGTAACTTTTATACTATTATTTTAAGAAGTGAATTAAGTTTAATTTAATCTAATAAAATTAATTTGTAACGTAATATTTTTTTTTCACTCGTATACATTATATTGTCGTCTATCAGTTGATGTGAAATATTAAAAAAATAAAATAAACTATATATTGATAGTATAAAATAATTTACATTATCATAAATTATTATAAATGATAAATTTATTAATTTTTATGATAATAATATTAAAATTTATACAAGTATTAATTATTTATATATTGAGTCTATTCATGACTTAAATAAGTTAAACTATATATAATTTAAGTTCTTTAACTCAAATTCAATTTATATAATTTATAAATTAAATTTTAAAAATTAATTATAAAATTAAATTTCAAATCAGATAGATTCATTGTTAGTCCTAAATATGAGATTTCCGGTCCATACTTAGATTCCAATTCAGATCTTTGTGTGATATAAATTAAAATTATATCCTTACCAACCCATACACCAACTTTGGTTGTTTATCTTATTGTTTCCTGAGGACCAAGTGTCCTCCTCTTTAGATGAAATTTATATGTATATATTTATAGGAAACGTTCCCACGCCCAAAAATGTAACACTGTAGGGACGTTTCCTTGTTTTGTAACGTCTTCACTGTGCTGATATTTTATCAATTCCCTAGAGACAAAAGAAAATAAAGTAAGGTCAGAAATTATAGTAATATATACTTTCACGCCCTAGAAAGTTTCATTAGCTGTGCACAGTTGCACACACACAACACACACCAAACCAAACCCTCTAGTTAGCCCCTCCCTAGTGTGTCTGTCACCTTTGTTAAACGTTCCAACTCTTTTTCTTCTCTCTTCCCTCGCCATTACTCTCTCTGACACCACTGCTTCGTGATGAAAGAGGTTACGGTTGAAGCTGATGGAGGCCAAGGAGGAGCACAAGGTGTGCAAGAGAAAGGCACCGTGAGGCCAGACATACACAACAGGGCCATGAAAATTTTGAGGGCAAGAGAGCCCTACAATAATGGCTATGAAGAAGTTGGAGAGAAACCCTCAGGTTTTGAAGTCATGGGGTGGTACCTTTATGAGTTTTGCTTCTACTTTGTTCAAACTGTGCTTGTTCCTGTTGTCTTCCCTCTCATTATCACTCAGCTACAGCCCCTCTCCTCAGATTCACTTCAACAATGGGCCAAGACTCACCCTGGAAAACACTGCTCACAAAAGGAAATTCATCTGTAAGTCCACATTTCCATTTTTCTTCTTTTTTGGTTAATTATTTGGGAAAATAAAAATTAGATTTTTTTTAAAAAAAATATGGCCATGTTTTTTCGCTACCAATAGTACCACTAACTGTCATTTTTTTAAGGAAAAAAATTGGTTACTATGTGTTTTATCTTCTGCGGTCTTGATCTAAGCTAGTTTATGTGTTTTGGCGTTTTGGGTGTTGCAAATTTTTTGAAAAGGTTGTTTCTTGTAGTGGGTGGTGGCCATGGATGGTATGAGAAAAAAAGGTTTTTTATTTTAAAAACTAGGCAGCGTGACAAACTGAGCATAGGGTTCCATTATGTTTTTCTTTTTGTTTTTTTGAAAAAAAATATTATTTTCGAGCCGTTTGGTTCCACTATAGTTCGCCATCATGAAAAGCCGTGTCCTTTGTGGCTTTCTTACAATTCTACTTTACTCTTACTCTACTCAAGATTTAAGATTCCTTTTTCAAAGCAATTCATTACCCATCGGACATCAACCCCATTTATTAACTATGCTTCTATGTCGACCTTTGATGTACAAAAAAAAAAAAAAAAAAAAAAAAAAAAAAAAAAAAAAAAAAAAAAAAAAAAAAAAAAAAAAAAAAAAAACTAAAGCCACGCCCTTGGCCAAAACAAGAGAGAGAAAGAGAGTAAAAATCTATGCTTTCCCTCCTAGGGAGTACCAAAATGTTTGTCGGACTCTCCCAAAAGTCATCTCTCACCTTTTAAACTTTTAATAAGATATCCTTGATATTATCCACAACGGTAAAATTATGCATTATATGCCGCGTTACTCAACTTAAAAACTATTTTTAGCTTTTACAAAAAAAATATTTACACTAATCATTTCTTTAACATTAAGATCTACCATATGATACTCCTACATACATAATAGATTTCACATTAAAAATAAGAGGAGTATATGATACACAAGTATGTACTAACTTAATAAGGCGCAACGTGAATTCTTGCCTTTTCGAAGCATTGGCCATCCGTTTTGTAAAATACTTAAAAGTTAAATTAAGTCGTTGTCGGTAGTTAGCTCACGTTGGTTATGATATGATAGCCAGTTTAACGACAATTCAGAGTGCCGACAGCATGAAACTGTTTCTACGCTTTATCCATGCATTTTTGTTTTTTAAAACATAAGTGCTTCCACCAAGAATTAACTGTTTCTTTCTTCGTGTACAATACAAATCAAACACAGCCTTAAGGTCAATGTTCCCAAACGAAAATACAGTACTCACTGCAGGATTACTATGTAACTACAGGAACTAAGCCAAGATACAGTAATCACTATATGTAAATAGTTCTCCCCATGTGCATTTGCATGTTCCCAAAGTTCCAATTAAAACCATGCCAGCATTCCCATAAATTGCAGGCAGTTTATGTGTGCACGCAGAAGCATGATATTTTGTGCCAACATATTAAGACAACATTAATTTAAGGGGCAAACTCCGTTTTTCACTTGTGATCCATTCACAAATAGTCTTTCTACAGTAAATTTGTAGTATTTTATGATAATCTTATCTTGAAAATTATATAAATTATGATTTCTAATCTATTGAGTTGTTAAATTCCTTTCTTTGATGCAATACATGAAAATTGAGGAGAAAACTTATATGTAGTATTGACGGTATTGTTTTTCGATCACAATTGAAATTTTACTTAAACAATACTTATGGTAAAAGATTCCATTAAATTTCAATTTTAATCAGATAACAGTATCAACGGTGCATACTATATTGAAGTTCTGTCTAAAAGTTAAAACACTAATTTAAATTAGAAGCATCTAACAAAGTTGAGATATGTTGTGAAAATGCAGGTATAGCAAACTGACAAACCACACCATAAGAACAAGTGGTGGATCAAATTTCTCATCCTTGGAGTGGACATCAATTGCATGGGCCACAGGGCTAGCCTTGGCTGCTCCAATTCTAGGATTCGTCTCGTTCCACCTCGATGGCCACTTCCCAAAGCTGATCCTAGCATCAGCCACAGGCATAGGAGTCTTCTTCTGCCTCCCAGCAGGCTTCTTCAAAGTCACAGCCATCTTCATTCCCTACATTGCAGGCATTGTAGCAGCCAGCACAGTGGCCACAGCTGCTCACACCCACCACCTAGGCCTCATGATCCGCTGCTTCACAGGACCAACCCTCAAGAGAAGCCAGTTCTCCATCCGGCAAGCCGTCTCCAGCAGACTCTCCCTCCACGCCACCGCCGCCGGCTGCCTTGGCGCCGCCATAATCTCCTCCTTCACATACCACATGCTCCGGGAACTCAATGACAACGACCGTGACGTCATGAGCCTTTGGGTGGTTTCCATCTTCAGTGGCCTAATATGGCTGGTGGGGGTGCTCCACATTGTCACAGCCATAAGCAGAACCACTGATTCCATCTCATTCTCCTCCAGGTTGCACCCTTTTTCAATCTTCAAATACCCTCACGCAGTTGGAGGCCTTGCAGGGGTGTTCCTCTCCTCGTTCACCACCATGTCGATTTTCACTGGGGGAGTTATCTTCATAGTGGGACAACTCTGCATTAAGCCACTTCACTTGCTATATTTCTGGCTAACATACTTCCTTTTCCCTCTTGTTTCTTTATCCCTGCTACAACCCTTGTTGCACGTGATCAAGATGAACTCTGTGAAGATGCAAATCGTGGGGTTCATCTTGTCGTTGTTGTCATCAGGGTTTGGATTCTACTACGGACACAGCCACTGGAAATGGGGCCACTTGGTGCTGTTTGGTGCAATTCAAAGCACAGCCACGGGGGTTTTGCATGCTTTTGGGAGGCTATTGGTGTTGGACTGTGCTCCCTCGGGGAAAGAAGGTGCGTTCTCGATCTGGTACGCGTGGATGAGAGCTGCGGGGTTGTGCGTGGGGTTCACGGTGGGGTCGGTGGCGCCGGGGCGCGTTAGGACGGCGTTCGGGGCGGCGTTTTGCACGGCCATTGCCGGAATCGTGGTGCTGCTGTTCGGGAACATCAGTGACGTGGGTGGTGCTGTTGCTGCGGGGCACGTGAGGGAGGAATGTGAGAGGAGTTCGGGTGTGACTGGCTTGGATTCAAAGGAATCTGCACGCGTTTGAATGATGGTGGTGGAGATTGGAGGATGTTGTTATTATTAATATTATTATTATTGTTGTTGTTGCTGTCTTGTGCGTTATGATATGATTCTTTGCGAATGGTGCATGCAAGAGTATAAGGTTTCATTTTATGATGATTGATTTTAGATGTATTTTCTGGTAGGTAATTGCTGCTGTTGTTGTGCATGCATGCATATGTTTGGTCTCTGTTGAGGATTTGGGTGCTCATGGCCTGTGTAACTGTCTTATAGTATTTTGTCATATTTCTTTCTCTTATACCCTAAAACACCTTTCCTGCTCCTGCAATTGCCTAATCTATGTGTATGATTCCTGCCATTTAAATATTCTTTAGGCTTAATGTTTTTTTAAGCTTTGATTTTAGTTAGAAATTCCATACTTTTGAAAGTGGATTTTTGATCTATCTCGTGAGTATGTCAAAAGATTCCGGTGTTTACTAGCATATGTCAAAAGATGCGTCTTCCGAGGTATGAACATGGAAATAGTTTTAGTTAATTTTTTTTTTAAATTGAAGTAGCTAATTATTGCTTTTTATGATTTTGTAATTGATTTTAGTAGAACTGATGGCTATTTGAACCGCATTTTTATTTGTCTTGTTTAAACACCTTTTCAAGCGTGCTTTTGGTTTTGGGTGAATTCATTTACAATTTTTTTTTAATAATTTCTTGATAGAATTGTTGAATTCATTAATTATTACCGTCTTGACTAATTAGCTTTAATAAGATTTTTCCTGTTAAATGATATATATTTTTTTTCATCCAGAGTTTAAATACTCGGAAACCTTTTTAAAGAATTCAAATTCAGTTCACTCTGACCAATGTGATGGTTATAATGTAGAATATGTTAACGAAATACTCGAGTGTAGACTTAAATACACTAATTAATCATGTGGGGATTATAAGTAACATTTTATTTTTGGTAGTTAGCTAAAAATAAACTTGATAACACATTAAACCTAATACATTAAATGAAGCTCGTTAAATAATGTCACAATTTATCAAGAGTCCCAATAAAATTTAGCCAATGTAAAAAGTATTGATAGGATATATCGTAACATTTATCTTAATTATATTATTTTATATATGTCAACCCGCACTGTATTTTTGGTGTGGGTGTATAGGTTTTGATTTAAGATTTTATTTACATTTGAGAATGATAATTATTTTTAAAATATTTAAAGATTTTAAATTTAATATTCATACCATTATAAATATTTTTACATCATTAACTAATTAAAAATATAATAATTTTACTGTACATAATAATATAGAATTAAGGGATAGTAAAATAATTATACTAGAGCATAATTTAGTTAAATTAATATTTTATTTAAATAAATAAATTAATATTAACAAAAAGATATTTGAAGTTAATTATTTAATTATACTGTCCACCCCCATCGTATTGGGCTCCATTTATTCAAATTTCAAAAGCACGGTGTGAAACAAGCAACAATAAGGCCCAAATAAGCCCACATCTTCATTGAAAAATGAAAACAAAAAAATATAATTAAAAAAAAAACTCCATCCCCAAATTGAAGAGGGAAAAAAAAAAACACCTTTGGTTTTGCAATCGCAGATTTTGGTTCGATTGCGCAGTGGAAAATCAGTGAAATCACCAATGCTTCGTGGCTTGACGAAACTTCGTTGTTTCGCCGTTCAATCACGGCAAGTTCTACCACCGCTTTCTTCGCGGCGTCTCCTCCACCACTTGCCGCCGCCGCCGCCGCCGCATCCCCTTCTCTCTGCTTCCACTTTCCGCGCTTCTCCTCCTTCCTTCATTTTCTCCTCATGGCCTCTCCACGCATCTCGCCTTTCCCCTTCCGTAAGTCCTTCTTCTCTGCCGTTTCATATCTGAGAATCAAATATTAAAGCCACACGCATTTTGACTCTTAATTCTGTGAATTTCGTCCTTTTTGAGTTTGTTATTACGATCGTTAATTTGATAGCAGTTTAATTTGTGTATAGTTCGTTCAAGTGCGGCACGTGTCGTCGAGGGAACGAAAGCTCAGGAGAAAGCCAATGACTCCAACCGTTTCCAAGATTAAGAAACCCAAAATGAAGTCTTATTCGTGAGTTTCATCTTCGTTACTGGTTCAGCCTTTTAGTGTGTGCTGTTTTTATTGTGATTTTGTGGAATAAGTGGTTTTACTTACTGTGTTTGAGCAGGTCTTACAAGTCCAGATTCAGAACAATGAAGGATGGGAACATCAGGCGCTGGAAGGAGGGCAAGCGTCACAATGCTCATTTGAAGGTTCAGTTCTTTTCTTCGACTTTATAAGCTCCTGATGATGTGTGTTAGCGACCCGTTTGGGTAAATTTCTTCGTAAGTGTTTATAGGAAAAGAAAATATCAAGTTAACTTCAACTTTTATAGAAACTCTTTAATCTAAGGTGCTTAAGTTAATTTTTAACTTACGAAGGAAATTTAATTCATTTGGTTTTTTATTTTCTTCTCGTGTAAGTGTTTCTATTTCTAGTGAAATTTATCCAAACAAGCTCAATGTGATGATTTGTTGAAGCATGAGTTTGTTAGTGGTTTATCTAGAATCATTGAAAATTCTACTGTTCTATCTGTGTGAATTGCCAAATAAATAACATCACACTCATTTCCAAAATTTCCATCTCAACGTTTCATGAGTTACGAACAAATGACCAAAGTCCATCTCGACTAAGTTATTGAATCGATCATATTCACAGTGAACGCTGCTATCCGTCCTTATCAAGTTTCCTGTAGGATGTAGCATTTGTAGGACATTAAATTACTTTCTAAAGTCCTTAAATTAATATGTCAGGACCTGTCAAAATAATAGCTTAGCTGTAACAATGTTTTTTTTTAATCGCTCACATTGACAAATTTCTTTCAGAGTAGTGAGACTATTTTTGAAAATTGAAACCGTAAAAGTTGTAGGACTATTGGCTGGATTATGATTTGGATTTCATCATTTGCAGAAAATAGAGCTACCTGTGTTTCCTTAGGATGCACGGTTGTGAAATTCGACTGGATGATGAGGAAGTAATTGTAGTATTGGTATGCTTGTACATAAAGCATTAGCAAGCATTTGAAAAATATATATGCAAAATAGTCATGTAAGTGGCACTGGTATTTGTTGTGGGCATATGCTTTATAGGCAATCCAGCATGATTGCACTCATGTATAAATATTATAAAACATGATATGTCAAAGAGCAAAATAGTTGCATTATATTGCCCTTATTATGGGTAAGTTCTGTGATTGATGTTGCGGTATGTTATGCATAACATGTTTCCTATTATGTCATCATAGCTGTTGGGGCAGTTGGAAATTGGCACCCTGCTGTTGGTTGATGATATAGAATTTAGATGGTTAAGAGAGAGAAAGAGGGGAATAACAGAACAGAGAGGAAAGAGAGGGAGAAGAGAAACATAGATCAGGGAAAATGTTCACTTTGTGATTATCATTTCAGTCTATCTATATTCACTTTGTCTAAATGCCATGCTTTATTTTTAGGCAGCTGCCCAACAGCCATAAAATTCAAACTAACAGTAGCTGACTAACATTCTTTTCTTATTTATATTTACATATTGACTGACCATGACGAGTGACTACTAGCTGCCTCCTTGTGCTGCTTTTTTCTCCACAATATGGTCACTTGACATAAATACTAACATTTTTGTGGTCATTGCCTCATTGATATACTTCTGCAACAGTATTTGTTAACTCCCCTATCAGCTGTCTGCTGAGAATAACGATGTTATGAGATGTTGCAGTACAAAATCTGCTCACATAGTTCATTTAGTTATAAAAGTCAAGCTCAACTGTATTACGAATTGTATTGTGTGTTTGGAACTTTGCATTAGTATAAGTTGGGTGGAAAAAAAAAACTATAATCATAATGTTATTTGTTTGCATGTAAATACATCAACTTTTACATGTCCATTGAGCATTACATAAATTCCACTATACTACTCCCTCTATTTTGTAACAAGTGTCACATTTGAAAAGAAAAAAAAAGTCCCAAAATAAGTATCATGTTCCACGACGGTGGCATAGCTGACTAAGTCTCTTTGCTCCTACTAGCTAGAACCTGGGTTCAATTCAGCTTCCCTCGTATTTTATATGCTTCTATACGAACTTGTGTTGAAGATGGGGTAGATGATCCGTAATCCCACTATAAATCCTTAAAGAGGTTGGTGGTTTGCTCTAGCATTGCATGAAGTCGTGTTTTGCCTTAATCTAAACTTCTACTTTACCAAAAAAAATGTATTTTTAATTACACCCCCCCCCCCCCTTTTTTTTTTTTTTTTTTTTTTTTTCATTTATACTTATAATTGTTTTAAAAAAAATGATTGTTGTGTTAATCATTTCTTGTAAAGAATATTAATAAGGTTAATTTTGTAAAATCATTATTCTTTTTCATCCATTTATAAGCTTTTTTTAGTTTGTTTAAAACAACCTAGGAGTATACTTGTTATGAGATGGAGGGAATATTTATTTTTAAAAAAAATTATTGAACCTATCTAGTAACACACATCAGATTCTTTTGCATGGTTCATGTAAATTAGAATTTTAGAACTATGTACTTAGTCCAAAAGTAATATTTTTTCTTGAGAACAATGCAGGGAAAACCATTTGAATTTTGCACAATTTGTTGATCCAACTCCTGGTTTTGACTTGGAAAAATGTACGTGTGATAAAAGAAGTGGTCAAATGAGTGGAGTTATTTTCTTTCATTAACTAGCATATGAGAAAATTCTATGGGTGAATTTCTATTTTTATCCATATTTGCTGTCTAATAAATGTCAATTGGAAATTCAGAATACATTGTGCAAGCAATTCAAAATGCGTAATGGCGGCAACAAAAAATATATGTATATCTTTAATACGGAGTTTGTACTTAGTGGGGACATTTTGGCCTCCAATTCACTCCATATGGGTATGCTCATGCTTCTAGAACAAGAATCCTAGTATTGTAGTTATACGTGTTTGTTTTACGCAAATATCACTTTCCAAGGCAAATTGAATGCCAATCCCACCATGAAATCAAACACGGCCTTAAATGTCTTGTATGGCCCTGGAGCTCGAGTAGTCGACTCTCATATACCAAAGGCCAAATCTTATCAATGTTGATTGAACAAAATTCTCTCTCAGTAGTCAGCACTGTATTTCTGAATAGCCTTTAATTTTATTTGTATGAATTCTATCTCTACTGGTCCTTAAAACTTCTAAATTTGTGGTAAACTCTGCAGTCAAAGAAATCAAAACGTAGATTGAGGAAACCCGCTATTGTCCCAGCGGCTTTTGCTAAAGTGATGAAGAAGCTCAATTTTTCTGCTTAGACATTGTAAGTTGCTGCTGGGTACAGCAGGAAAGAGGATTGATCAGGTTTTGCATTTTAACTCTGATCATTTGTTCACTTTAACATTTTAGAATCTGTAGAACGAGCAGTTTCTTTGGTACAGTTAGAATTGGTAATATTTGGAGGTTATGCCTATTCAAAATGGCATGTTTTAGTGGGCAATGTGTGCAAATATTGTTAACATCCAGTGACTGATCATTGTTCCTTTCTTGTGATACATTCATTGGATTTGTCTTCAGTTTGTTAAAATATTTGTCTCTTGAATAGCTGTTGGTTGGGTCTTTAAGTAATAAGGATTAATTTAGATTCGAATATCTCTACTTCGTGTTCTAATTAGACGTGTTAGTGTGTTTCGGTTGGAAAAGGCTATTTTTATATATACATAAAGCAGAAACAAATTTTACAGTTAGCTATTTTCACCTTAGTCCCTTAGTGGAGCAATTTTTTTTTTTTTTTTCCTAAAAAAAATGAAGTCAGTTTATTTTTAAAGTAAATAACACTGTGTTCTTTCTTAAATTATACAAAGTTAATTTATGCCTTTTAGCAATCGTGTTGAGAAAACTTGAATATTTAGAAAATGAAGCAAACACTTTTTTTTTATTAAAAAATAAATTAATCATTTGATTTAACTACATTGCCTTAGACACTACGAATAGTGGGTCGTGTCTAAACAATAAGTTGTCATTTCTCATGGTAGGGAATTGTTGCAGATGTTAAACAATATGCAGCTTCCTGTTTGGATTCTCAACATACTGAGCCATATTTAGATAAAAAAAGTTTGCAAAAAATACTTCAAAAGAAAAAGATAAACATAAACATTGAATTAAATTTTTCTATAAACTGAAATCAACTTATGTATAAATTAAAAAATATTTTAGAAAAAATAAAATAAAAAGAATTTTTACAAACTAATTTATGTATAAATTAATTTTAATTTATAAAAAATTATTTATCAAAACAGATATCAAGTATGAAACACGCAAATCTGATTTCTCGTGGTAGGAGATCCACTTAGGAATGTTGTTAATGATAAAATAATATACATATAAAATATTTAGGCCGTTAATATCTTTTGATATATATTTAGAATATTTGTTATGTATAATCTCTTGATTAATTTCTTGATTTGTAATCTAATTATTATCTTAATTTGTAGTTAACTTCTATAACAACATAAAGTTATCTAGTTAATCTAATTTTTCTTGTATATAATGGAAAAACAATAGTTTAAAATAATGAATAAAAACATAGAAAATCAATTTTTTTCCTGAAATTTTTGTTCATATGGCATGTATCAAGAGTGGAATTAATTACCTTTATCATAAATTTTCTTATAGAAGTTTAATTTTCTTAAAATTTTGCTCCAAAAAACCCTCCCAATTCTTTTCGAACCCGATTGCTTTTATGCGTCTGTAAGGTGCCAAACAGGGACAGAAGATAAGGGGGGCCATGGTGATGAGTTACATTTATAGTGATTTTATTAGGAATCAAGAACTAAAGTGAGGAGAGGTCCTTGTGCTGAAGTAAGTTGGTACTAGATGGACTTACTTTTAATTGGCCCGTGTAAAGTGTCGGCCCAATTAAAAAGAACCTGCAAAAAAGTTACCACTATGACATGTAAAACATGAAGAAAAAAAAAAAGCATAAGATTAGGTATGAGAACAAAATAAACAAAGGCTTAACCTATAATCGGGTAATTTGTTGGAAACCAAGATTTTAAAATTATAAGTTAACTTAAAATATGTAAAAGCATTGTTACATTCCACTACAACAAAATTTATTATTAATGATAATTATTTAATGGCAATAATTTAATTTTCGCCGTATATAAAAATATTAATGACTAATATATAATAGCCACTAAAAATGTATTTATATTATTAGCGATAATTATTTATTAGAAAAAACTTAAGTCCCACATCGATTAGAGATAAGATAATTAAACAGTATATAAGGAGTAATAACTATCATCTTATAGGTTCATTTTATAGGGTTGACACCTAATTCACTATTCTAAATTGGTATCAAATCACCCATTGTTACCAAGTTCAATGGTGCTATAAAACAATTAGAGAACAACTTTCACCTTATAATTCTCACATCTCTTAAGAAACAAGACAATTAAAAAATATATAAATAAAAGACAACTTTGACAACTTTGACAACTTTCATCTTACAAATCACACATCGAGTAGAGATAAAAAAATATATAAGTTATGAATTTAGAAAAGGAAATTATAGGAATAATTTATTTAAAGTAAAGGAGACAATTGAAAAAAATAACTTTTAATAGCCTTTAAAATGACTACTAGAATTGCCACTAAAACAAATAAGTTTTCCGATAATTTAGTAGATTTTTACCGGCATTTTATATAAATGCGGTAATAGTATTAGCGACACTGAATACACCAGTCATTATTTAAATACTGGTAGAAAAATAATGGTCATTTATATGACCGCTAAATAATAAATTAATTGCCACAAAAAAACTAATTTTAGTATAGTGTTCATATGTCTTTTCTTCAATATGAGATTGATGAACCTTCCCGTTTATCTGATTCTACATGTTTCGTCTTTCAGTCCCAAATTCAGACTTTATGGACAATGGGCATCCATCTATCTTACTGTTACTTCATGGATCTAATCTCATTTCATTAGGATATGAATTAATAATTCATCAAAAGACCAAGTAATTCACACAACTTATGTAATTGTTTTCTATATTCTATTTTACGTTTAAGAACCATTATGTTAGGAATTTATTTCTAATTTCCATCAGTTATGTTTTGGCTCTATTAAGAGCAATAACTTGACGAGCTTGTTCTTATAAACACTATATATTTATAAATAAATGCATATGATATATTTATGAGAAATTTGAAATAATTAAATTAAAAAATAATTTATAAAAAAATATAATAGAATTTTAAGTTAAATATATTTTTAGTCCATCTAAAATGAACAAATTTTATTTTTGGTTCTTGTCATTGTTTTTTTACTTTTGATCCTTTAAAATTCAAAACTAATATTTTTAGTTGTTGTTATTATATAATCATTTTTAATTACTTATTTTTTATATTAAAAGGTGAAGTGATCATCTCAAGTGTTACCATGTTAAGAGATATCATATTAGTATGTGATACTTCTAAATATTTTTTAAGTCCTAAAAATAAATTATTTATCTATCTTAAAATCATCATTGATAAAAAATGGTAATATTAAATTTTAAAATGATGAAAATCAAGAAGAAAGAAAACTATTTTACAGGAAACAAAACCAAAATCTATCCATCATTTTACAAGGACCAAACATATTTTACAATGATGAAAAATAATGTTTACAAATTTTAGTAGAATGAAAAATAGAAGAAAAAAATTACAAAGAGCAAAATTAAAACTCATTCAACTTACAATGACTAAAATTATATTTAAGTCTAAATTTTTTTAAAAAAATATTACACAAGATACTTATTTGATAAATTTGGATTCATAAATTAAAGTTTCAATGTTACTATATTTTGATTTTTCCCTCCGAAAAAGTTAAAATAAAAAAAGAAGTATGAGAGTACAATTTCTATATTTTAATGTACAAAGTTAATATTGAAACAATTTTTCCTTTAAAAAAAAGTATGCATAAATGGGATTTAATCAATTTT